GGGGCCGCGGGGCACGGCACGGGCAGCGGCTGCTACCGCACAGCGGCGCAGAGCAGCGCCCAGCATGACGGCGATGGCGGTTCGCGAAATAAGGTTCCAGAGAAGCCGGTGAGAGCTCTCGGGCCGCTCCGAGAGCGCGGGGGCCGGACGCACGCACGACGTAAGGGGCGTAATGGGGCGGAGCGCGCAACCACGCCCACTGCAGCTCTAATGCCTTCTGGGAACTGGCGGGCTACGGTGGCGCTATTCGGACAAATGCTTCTGCTTCGCGCACCGCCCTATATCTGGATGGGTGCTATATTGGCCATGATGGAACAAGGATGGAAGGGAGATGGGGTCTAGCAATGGACCGCTCGAGTCCGGTTCAGGGCAGACTCTCGCCAAAAAATGGTAATGATAGCAATAACAACGAAAATTGGAGGGAGGAGTGGTGGGAAAGGAGAGGTAAAAAGAATTAAGATGAGCCTAATGTGGTGGCCCATGCCTGTCATCCTGGCATTTAAGAAGCTCAGGCGGAGTATCGCTGTGAGTTCAGAACCACCCTGGACTACATAGTGAGTTCAAGGCCAGCCGGAACTACATAGCCAGACCCTGTCTCAATCCCTCCCCAAAAAGGAATTAATATATGTTATGTAAGGGTACAAACTCCCTATGATGAATGTAATCATTATGTTCTGCAAATATATACTAATGAAAATAACAATTTTTAAACATGACAAAGTATACTAAAATAACTTTGCCTGTCCTCCTTTGACACTAAAATAACAAATGCTAAATAACTGCCTATATGCTGGGGACCTTAGTAGAAACTATTATTATAAAGAGACAAGCATTAAACCATTAATCCTTTTACATGGATTTCCTTTCACACAATGCAAACAGACTCAGAAATTAGGTTGCTGCTGCGTGTGGTGGTGCAGGCCTGTGATCTCACCACTGTTGGAGATTGAGGCTGGAGAATGGGGAATTTGAGCCCAGCTTAGGCAGTTTAGGGATTTGGAGAGACACTGCCTCAAAATAAAAAAGTGTTCGAGATGTAGTTCACTGTGAATGCCCAGGACTCAATCCCCAGTACAGAAAAACAAACAGCAAAAACGTGGATGTTGCGATAGAATGGGGACCCATTCTTCATTTTGTAACCACTGAGGAAAGAAAGGGTAGACATGCAGGTTCCTTGCTCACTCCAGACCTCTCTCCTGGAACTCAGCATCTGTCCTCTTTTTTCCCCTCTCACTGTGGCTTTAGGGGAGTATGAACCCTGCTGGGAAAAGGATTTAAAAAGCAATTGCTGGGGCCAGGGATTTAGTTCTGTGGTGCTACCGCTAGCCTTGAAAGCACAAGGTCCTGAATTTGATCCCCAGTACCAAAAAAAACCAATTGCTTTCAAAGTGTCACCCCCACCTTCTCTCAACAACCTGGCCAACGGACATCAAGGAAGCTTTGATCTCTTTGCAGTTCAGTTACTGTTCACCAAATCTCCAAAAGCTGTGGGTTCTTGATGAGGTCAGAGCAGTACTGGAAAGAAAGTCAATAGAGTATATTCCACCTGCAAGCCCACCTGTCAGAGCCGCTCCTCCTACAGTCACTAAGATTGTCTATGAAGTGTTTAAAAATTAATATACAATTGTCAGGCATGGTGGCACATGCTTATAATCCCAACACTCAGTAGGCTGAGGCAGGAGCTTGAGGCTGTCCTGGCTACATAGTGAGTTCAAGGCCAGCCTGAACTACATAGTGAAACCCTGTCTCAAAAAACAAACAAAAATAAAATTATAGCCAGACACACCCGTAATCTCAGCATTCAGGAGGCTAAGGCAGGAGGATCTCAGGGAGTTCAAGGCCAGCTTGGGCTACATACTGAATTCAAGGTCAGCCTGAATCACTTAGTAAGGCCCTGTCACAATACATACATACATAAATACACGCATCCAAAACAAACCATAATTTATGACATGCCACTGCATGCCACTAATTTATTCTCCACCTCACCCATACCTTATAACACGCTAAGATAAAAGTTTATCCCTATTTTATTATCCAGGCATAGCGGTGCACATCTGTAATCCCAGTTCTCCCAGAGGCTGAAGCAGAACTCCAAGCTCAAGCCTAGCCTGGGAAACTTGGCAATTTAGCAAGCCCTTGTCTCAAAATTTAAAAAGGTGAGGGGAGGACATAGCTTGTTGTGCAGGCTCTGGGTTAAATCTTCAGTGCTGGAAGAAAAAAAAAATGTCTCCAGAAATTGCTTGCTTTCTTCTCAGCCGAAGGTAGGCTTTGCAGACCCCTCAGTCAGTTCAGAACCCTCTACTGTCTTGGCAGCAGGCTCAGCCCTGATCACCTGGATCTGTTTTATAATGTTGAGTAACAGTCTACCACCAATGCAGCAGCTCTAAACAATAGCCATTATCATCTTCCCATCTCTGCAGCCCAGAAGTCCAGGCACAGCATTACCAGGCTCCACAAAGGGACTCACAAGACTGAAGTCCAGATAGTGGCCAGGCCATGGTCTCTTCTGGAACTCGGAGTCCTCTTCTGAGATCATTCCAGAGGTTGTTAGAATCCAGTCCCCTGAGGTGGTAGATCTAAGTCTCCTCCTTTTTTGCTATCCAAGGACACTCAGCAGCTGGAAGCCCTCCTCTTGTCTTTACCTCATGACCTCTGCAGGCCCTCACATAACACTGCTGCTAATATTTTCAGGTTGGCAGGAGAATGTCTCTCTGATGGGTCACCCTCTTTGTTTTCTTTTCCTTCTTTTAAACTCACTATGGAGCCCAGGCTGATCTTGAACACGTGGCAATCCTCCTACTTCAGCCTTCCAAGTGCTGGGCTTATGGGCATGTACCAGCACACCAGGTTTTGCTGGTTTTAAAGACCTCACCTGATTAGTTCAGCCCCCCCCCACCCAGAATAACCTTTTGATTAACTCTGAAAATTAATCTCAGCCTTTCCTAGCTCCATTCCATTCTGACACTATCTACCCAGATACTATAGGTGGAAGCTCAGCCCCAGCAGTCTGCCTTTCCCTCCGGACACCTGTTTCTAGTCTAGGCCTCCAGAGCTTCTCACTGATCAGCCACCACCCAGGCTTCCCACAACCCCTTCCTTGGGTTTGATTGATTTGCTAGAATGGTTCATAGAGCTCAGGAAGACACTTTATTTTTTAATTTATAAAAAGAAAAAGTTTATTTTGGCTCACAGTTTTGGAGGTCTCCACTCATGACCTATTGGCTTCATTTCTTTTTGGCCTGTGGTGTTGAGGTAGGAGATAAGGGCATGGCCAGCTGGCTGGGCAACAGGGCAAGATCTGTCAATCATGGAGATTTAGGACACATGCTCAGACTCTGCACTTGGCTTCCTTTTATTTATTTTTTTGGTACCAGGCATTGAACTCGGGTCCTTGTGCTTGCAAGGCAGGCCACCAAACTGCTGAGCTAAATCCCCGGCCCAATTCCTTTTTTTAATAGCAAAACATTTATTCGTACATTTTAAGCATACATAATAATAACACTCATCATGGGGAATTTGCACCTGTGCATTCTACATCTTGCCTCTGTTTTCCAATTCCCGCTCTTCCCTCAACCCCCCTCCCTTCCCTATGTACAAAAGCTTTGTTTCCATTTTTCTATTTTCTTTTTTATTTCTTGTCCCTTCCTTCCTTTTTCCCTCCATCCTCCCTGTTACCCTTTCCATTTGAACATTTTCTTCCCATTTCCCAATGTCTATTATATATTTTAGTCCTTATTTCCACTTTCAGTTTCTCACACCAGAGAAACAATGCAGTATTTAAACATGTGTATCCAATTTATTTCACTTGCGAGTATGGTCTCAGGGCTCATTCATTTAGCTATAAATGTCTGAAGCCTATCCTTGTTTACGGCAGAATAATACTCCATTGTATAAAAACCCCATATCTTCTTTATCCACCCCAAAATAACTTTTGGACTGTTTCCAAGATTGAGCTATTACAAACTATGCCAATATAAACATGGGTGTGTGTGTGTATCACTGTTGTAGAGTGCTTTTAATTCCCTTGAGAAGATACCAAGAAGGGGGATAGCTGGGTGAAATGGAACCCCTAGTTTTAGTTTTTTGAGGAATCTCCTCTCTTATGTCCACAGTGGTTGCACCAGTCTGCACTCCCATCAACAGTGGAGAAGGGCTCCTATTTTCCCACAGCCCTGCCAGCATTTGTTATTGGCTGATTTCATGATAACAGCCATTCTTCTGGAGTGAGATGGAATCTTGGCTTATTTTCATTTGCATCTCTCAAATGACCAGTGATGCTGAGCATTTTTTAATATATTTATTTGCCATTTCTACTTCATTTGAGAAGTGTCTATTCATTTCACACGCCCATTTTTGGATTGGATCTTTAAATTGAGGGGGGTCTGATTTTTTTTTAGATCTTGATATATTCTAGATAGTAGTCCTTTGTTTGAGGAATAGTAGGAAGACACTTCAATGTTTTGTCTTGTTTTTTGAGACAAGTCTTACTATGTAATCTATGTCATTGTCCTCAGTGCTGGAATTAGAGGTGTGTGCCTCTCCCTCTGGACACCTGTCTCTAGTCTAGGCCTCCAGAGCTTCTCATTGAGCAGCCAACACCTGGGCTTCCTATACCCACTTCCTTGGGTTTGATTGATTTGCTAGAGAAGTATCACTAGATCTTAATAACTTTTTTATAAACCTCCACCCCAAATCCTTTTGAATCCTTTCTTTTTGGGGGAGTACTGAGAATTTAACACAGGGCCTTCTTGCTGAACTACATCTCGAGCCTTTTTTTAAGTACTTCTCTTTTTTTTTTTTTTTTTTTTTTTTTTTTTTAGAAAGGTGTTCTTTTTTTTTTTTTTTTTGAGACAGGGTCTCATTATGTAGTTGAGACTGACCTGGAACTCATTATGTAGCCCAGATTGGTCTCAAACTCACAGCGATCCTCCGCCTCAGCCTTCCGAGTGCTAGGATTACGGTCATGCACCACCACGCCTGGCCCCTAAAAATTAATTTGAAGTAAAAAATGGAGTTTCTCCAGATAATACATTTGTATAAAATCTAGCTTACCTTATAGCTTATGCTCTAGAGTATATCTTACAAAAATCAGTAACAGGGACTTTCATATTTCAATTGAAATGAACATAAGTAGACATGAGTAACTTTCTTTTATGTAGTAGCAAAGACAGTCAAT